AGTGACAAACAGAAACAACTAGTGTATCGTATTGTTTTGAACGCCTCTGCACTATTGTGGTAGATAATATAGCTTTTTACTTCATTAGTTAACTGTACAAAACATAATAGCATATTATTGTGTTGAAGCTAGCTATATCCTGTGCATTGCGTCATATTGTAGTGATAATTTTACTACTTTTCAAATGATGTTTAACTTGCTTTGAACATAACTTTATATTATGATGTATATACCTTCATATTTCAAAGTCCATAGACTTTGAAAACAAAAAAAAAATTATTTTGTCTAATGGATATGACATTATTTTACACAATGACTATGTCTTTATATTATACTGAGCAACCGTCCACTGTCCAAAACCCTTTTGTATTCTACTGAACACACCAACACAGCCTTGCAAAAGTATTTTGTTCATATTCAATTATGGCACAATTGTTTTTATGTCATTTAAATGCAAGGTGATATCCCTAATGGCACAGAGTTAGTCACTACGCCCCAATTTAGATCGTATTTAGTTCATTTAGCGTCACTTTGCAATGTTTGGCCAAAAGGCTTACGCCCTGAAATTTGTTAAAATATTTTTGAAATTGTTTATTTTTAATCTAGACTTCTGAACTTGGGCTACATCGTGCAGAAAATGGCATGATGGATTTCTTGTAAAGTGGTATAATAGTTGAAAAGTATTTTTATAACTACTTTCATATTAAGCTTGTACACCTTATAAAAGGTAATGTGTAACGTCTTAATCTGTTCCTGCTAACTATGCGTTATTACATGTAACCTTTACTTCCTATCATTACTTTTCAATAAACAACCTTTACTTTGTATTATGGTACTGTAGATGATCATATCCTCTTGTTGTCGTAAATACAGCCATCGTGCTTGTTTTCGACAACCATACAGTATGTTACAATATTGTAAAACATGACTAATCCCATTGAACCCAAACATGTTTTACACATTAACAACGTAACATTTACTTACTTTACACTTAAAACGTAACAATTACTTACATTGTCTATTGGATAATAACTTAAACGTAGCTTCAAGTCGAATCCTTTTACGTGACATTCACGTTTATACCTAAAGTTCCTTTACTTAATAGACTTATTCATGGTCTTTAACGTGGATTCAGAAACAGTGTGTAAGAGTGTGACATATCGAAAAGTGTCTAAGATATGAAATAGTCTTTTGTGGCCAGTGTGTTTTGTGCTACGCTTACGCTTTTATGTTTAATTGAGCTATATAGTACTTGTCTGTTATTTTGAAAGACTCAATGTCTTTATGCATGAGTTTTTGCTGATTTGTGAGGCTACAACTCTTCTTTGTTTTAAGTTTATGACACGGTTTATAACTCTTTTTACTTTTAACACTTTTCATTTTTGTAACTTGTGTAATTGTACAAAAAAGACAATTTTTTTATTTTTTAAAGCGTTTGCACAGTGCAACTAAGTTTTTACAAATTGAAAGCAAAACATAAACCAAGCATAATTCTTTATGAGCTAGACTGTGATAACAGTGCAACCATCTGAAAAGCTGCTTTCAGTTTGTTATTGTTGGTGGCTTATGATATTTTTTTAACAATGAGTATGATATTGCAATTTTTTGCGTAACAAAACAGTATTTTAATTAAATTCACATTAGCATAGTGTTTATTCGCACTTTTATCCAAAGACAAAACAATTTTATTATTACTGTCGTCTTGCACTTTACAGTAATAATACTAGACGTTTTGAGTTTAACTTGCCATTTTTTCTTTACGTCGTATTTTATAAATAGTCAATATTTAAATTTTTATCAATAAGGACGTTTTTAAAAAACTGTTATCTAAAAATAACCGTTCTATTGTGTATTACTGCCATTTTTTATAATATGTCAAAGGCATGTTTTGAACAATATAAGTTTAAGTTCAAAACAGGGCTACCGTATTTTGTCGTGTACCCTCCGGCTTTATGACATGGCTCGTTAAATATTTGTCTCATGAGATCATCGCTAATATATAATTCATGAAAACCCTTTTTTGTTTCTATTCAGAGTCAAAGGTAAGAATAAGTGTGGCTACAGTCAGAACACTTGTTTTTCGTAGACGAGATTAGCTTTACACCTACAACATCAATATTGCGTTAATTTGGAGGAATTTACAATTGTTTTTTAGATTTACACGATTTACAATTCTATTTTTTGATGGTAATTTTGATAATTGTTCCGTTTTTGAAACAGGTTTAAAAGGCGGCCATATTTAGGTATATGGCAGTATGTGGCTGTATTTTTATGGCGCGACATATTAGATATATATTAGATCGAAACCTTTAGTGCAAGAATTTTTTTAGTTTTTTACAGAGCTGTATTACCTGGGTGTTGCTTCCAATTCTCTGCCCTTCCCTATATCAAGCCTGAGCAATACCCTTTTTTGTTCAGGTACAGTTCCATACATTTAAGACCATAACCCTAATATAAATTTTGTTAAAAATTTATTAAAAAATTAATTTTAACATTGCTTCAAAGTATGACACAATCGAAACTTTTTATAATTTTAAATTCCTGATTTCCGAAACATTGTTGAGTTACAGCTGTCGAGGCTAATCCAGAATAAGTAATCTGTCATTTTTACCAAAAGGAATATTCTACAGGGTATTAAGCCGAGTAAATATACATGGCTTACACTATTTACATTATGTTTCTAGTCTTTTGTCTCTGTACATATTACATTATTTTGATTGTCATATGTAACGAATAGTATTTGACATAATATAAAATATATTGATATTGGTATAGTGCGTGTTTTGTAACGTGTACGACACGTTCGACAAAATCATCGATATTTTAATATATTATTGTTTGCAGCAGGTTTTATCTCATATTATGTCTACTTGATACTCAATTTTTGTATATTATTATTGTAAGTTTACGTGAGATCTATTTATGAAAATATTTGGTGTAAAAACAAGGTTAAACTGCCATTTACAATACCAAAAGACAGACCATAATAAGCGTATCCGTCTTGATTTTGTAGCATTTATAACTTTTGCTGTTATTGTAAACATATTACTGTAAATTGGCTCTTTTGTGACCCCAAATGTAAACAGTAAAATTAACATTTAAGGTATGTAATCTGTAAATAGATTTGTCTGTTAGTTAGATTTGTTTTTCACATTTACTGTGGTATTATTGTGCAGTAACGCCCCGGTGAACTTTGTAAAGTAGACAAAGAACATGGTTATGTATGTGTTTTATTGATTGACTGCTTTTGGGATGGTCAATTTTGGTTAACGTTTGATGTTCCAAAGTTGATCAAACGTATTAGTAATTGATTAACATGTCTAGATGATTTTCTAAAATATTAGCTATTGGTATTTCCTAACCTTATTGTTACAGTATCTTTCAAGGTAGTGCAATAACAAATTTGTTTTTTTTGCAATTTTTTTTATTTTAGTAACTAACGTCTGTAATATTACAAGCGTAGCCGTCTACGTTAGTTAGACTGTCGTATCTTGTCTCTGTCCCATCAAAATGACACAAAACAGTTCTGTGAATTGAACCCGATTGCAACCCAGCTCTGGGAAGTTTAGGTAATTGTTTTCCTGAAAATAACTTAATTCTTCGTCATGCAAATTCCTTACAAAAATTTTTTTTTTATTTTCCTTATTAACTAAACAAATACGTTTTCCAGTAATTAAGACACCTTTGCAAAAATAGACAGTTGTTATCTATGCTACTAATAATAATATCCATAACTATATTGAGCTTATTAGTCAGTCTCTTTAAATGAGTAATTATAGTATGAGTAGATTAGTAATTACAGTAGGACAAAGTTTTGAAAAATATTTTGAAACTCTTTTTTGTCAGTCACATTAGTCATTAACACATTCAGAGGCACATTGGCAATTCAGGATTGAATTGTTACTTAATTTTCTAATCTTCAAAACGTCTTTTCGAAGTTATTAAAGTAGAGTCATAATAAATACTTGTCAATTCCAATATTGTACCATAATCATGATCTTGTTGTAGTTAAGTTACTTTTTATAATAAATTGCTTTAAAACACTAGATAAAGTAGATGCAACAAGTAATATAATTTACTCAAAGTAATCCATATTTACTTACAATTAAAGAGTTACTAGCCTTGGTTGAGTCTGCCATCTCATACTACATAATGTCACCTTTCTTAGAAAATTGAATAATTAGAAGATTGTAGTAGCCTTCGACTACGAATCGTGACATTTCGATTGTATCTGCACATAGGAAAACAAAAACTGAACACGCCTGGCAATGTTACACTGAGTACAAGTTAGTATATAACATGACAGGGTGTTTACAGTTCTGTCATATTTCTGGTTAATGTTTAGGGAGAGGCGGTAGGCCGTCATATTCTGTCCTATAATGGTCACAGTAATATTCTCCGTCATGTTCGTACGTCCTTTGACATATATATTGATCTTTACTTTTAAGGACATAACAACGACAAAGTGTATATAGTAATCATTTTGAAGAGTAAAATGTAATGCTTAAACTGATGTCTATAAATTTACAACAACAAATCACATAAACCATAGTCTCACAATTGACTTATTCCATTATCAATCTACTGCGACCTTTCCCACCCGTACCGTATCCTATATTACAATCGTGCCGTGGACAACAAACCCTTGTTGATAGTAATTAATGAAGTAACTTTCTTCGTATTTCCGCGTGTGAACAAACTTAAGTTGACTTTGTTGTGAATAATAATATTTGCCATGCCTTTCAGAAGCTTATTATAAATACCACCCTGATTGAGACTCACACCACTCTTATGCGTTCCACGCCGTTCCTACAGTAACTTCCAAAATTCTCGGATTTAATGGCCTTCAGAAGTCTGCACTGATCTCACACACGTCTACTGATCTCGATATATATAGTTCTAATATACACAACTCTACTCTAACCAGCTCTACCACCAATCTCTTGGACGAATATTCACAGAAAAGGAAACAGATTAGTTGCCGAACCATCGTATACATAATGATGACACTCAGCGCAGTATCTACGTTGGTTGTTCTGTGTTCGGTCAGTTTATTGGGTAAAAGTGACAGTTCGGAACAGAGCTACAGTGAGAAGAAGATGGACGCTGTCGAAAGCACGATGGTGAGTTTGTTAGCTTTTGTAAAGTAAAGCAATAGCTAAAGTTAAGATCTCCCAGTTTAAAGAAAAAAGTAAAATTAGATATTGAAGTCTAAAAGCTGTTTCAGTTCCCCGGCTTCATCATCGACTACGAGATGGAGAGAGTCACCAAACCCAAATGCAAGCCACAACAAAGTTGCCGAACCACAGATGATCAAGCGGTCGACTTCTCGGCCTTGATCAATTTCATCAACTTTTGCGATTGCCCTACTGGTACCACTTGTAACAACGACAATCCTATTCGAATGGGCTCCAAAACCTACGCTGTAAGTTACTGTTTTAACACGTTTTGTGTGTTCTATATATCATATTTATAAAACAAAAAATATATCGTAATCTTCTGCACAGTATGATCTTAAGCTTACGTATACAATGTCAAAAATGATACTGTATTCCTAACTAGATTCCTCATTACAACACAGATCATATGTTCAATACAATAACGATGTTATTGTAACATTTCCCAAAACCTCTAATTATCTTATTGTTGATTTCTGTGACATTTTCTACTGTAAACATAACCTTTCCTACGCAAAACATGTAATGTAGTCAAGTTCATTATATACATAATCAGTTCTGCCATTTCATTTTGTATTTCCAGTTCTGTGGTCAACAAAAACTGCGACGATGCAGAAATAATGAAGTTGCCGTCAAGCTGGATGGATTTGTAGATACCGTGAACTGCTATTGTCCCTACGACGTCGTGGCTGAGAACAGTGCCGAAGCCTTCTCGGATACCAAGACCAGCCTCAAGTTCTACTGCAAAAAGAGAGCTATGGTAAGGGGTAGTACTGATAGATACTGAGAGAGTACAAAGCAAAAAGTAGCTTAATTGAAATCTTTTTCTAATTTTTTTTAAATATAGTAAAGAAGAGTACAAAATAATGTATTGTAATCTTTTCAGCAGTACAAAGTGAGGAAACCGGTCAAGTCCCCAATCACAGCACAAGACATAATGGCTTACTTGGAGCAATGATCGTGCTGTACCTTTAGTTTGTTGTATTTATGACCAATGTATAACATGTACGCTTCTTTTGAGATCGTATGTTATATAATATTTTTAAATCTTAAAATCATACACGTAGTACCAAGTATACACTTTAAATACTCTACAAACCAAACTGTGTATATATCTTCTTATTAAACCATGGACAAGGCTGGGCGATAGTGAGGGTTGACATAACAGATAGATAAAAGTCTCAAAAAATATTCTATCCTCCCCCTACCCAAACATAAGTTACCCTCCCGGCCCCAACCATGGTTGTCTTACGGTAGCGAGCTTTTGTATTGCTTGTGTCTTTCATGTCATGTAATTATTTGTCTATATCACCCCCACATAAATAGTTGTTAGTGTGCACAACCCCGTAGCAGAACGCCTTGTAAGTACAAATAGAACGGCATAGAGCTTACAGAATATAATTTATTGTAGTTGTGTCATTTCTCGTGTCTGAGATTGCATTTACAGTTTATATTTTACACTGATATACTATTATTTGTTAAAAATAAAAAATACATCTACAATGAAGTGACATTAGTTGCTGTGAAAACTCAAATTAGTTTTGCGATACCTTTAATCGTAAAGATACTTTACTATTTGTTTGATAGTAAAAACTAAATATAATCTAATTTGATGTGCCAAAATATAAAGTAGCTCTTGCTTTTAACAACTTCTACTTTGTAGTGACATTAGCTGCTACAACGTCCAAGAAGCTACAATTACATAACACTTAAGATGACGTTTTTGCTGAGGGTTTATCTAAGGAATTCAAAGTGTTTTAAATGCACTTTTAAACCTATGCTGATAACTTCCAGACTGAAGATTACGTTTCAAAACAAGTGACATTAAACTTGGCTTGTACCCAAAAAGTTAATTTTAAATTTTAATGTTACAGTAAGATTACAATGTAAAATGAGTGTACCTTAATGTAAAATACCTAGACTCAAACATAAAATAATTAAAAGGGCACTTTTAATATAAAGACAATTTATTTTGATGTTGTTTATCCGAAAGAATGACCGAATGTTCCCCCTTCTCCCACGCCCTAACCTTTTTATCCTGCTTTTAATCCCCCCCCTCTCCGCTGTTTAGATCAATGCCCAGCCTCTGTCACCCTCCACCTTTCTCACACTCTCTCACCGTGATCATGAAAAACGGCGGCCAACATAAAACGCTGGATGGCCAAATGGTCGGCTAACACTGATCCGAGGACATGGGCACACACATGCCTCTGGCCATTTGTCTTTGTCGAAAGGTGGGGGAAATGGCCGGCAAAAAGGTTTAAAATGCCTGTGAACACCGAATCGAATGTTTGAGACATGATTAATTGGGTGTTAGGATTAAAATCAATCTGTTTTTTAAAAATCAAACTAAATTTGAACCAAAAATTGTAGTGTGATAAGCTTTAGAGTAGTGACCATTCGGAAACATTCTCTAATGCTGTTAAAAGAGTTACCAAATCATCTAAACAATGCATATCTCACAGAAACTTTTATAAGTTTTCACAAGAAAATAAAAAAATTAACATAGCTTCAAAACAAACCAAACTTTATACCTTTTTAAGCTAAATTGCTCCACTATAAAACTCAAATTCACGTAAAACACTTCATGTTCACCATGTGTGGCCCTGTATCTCTCCTGAACCTACTGATTGACATGACTAAATGTAATAAATTTTTCGATTTTCACTTATAAAATTTTCGAACACTCAAGACCTCTTACCTTTGACTCTACGGCCAATGACGCATCACATTTAAAATCAGAAAATAAAAAAGATAATACGAGTGATTAGAGAGTCTAGACACCAACCATTTCGATTCGAAGCAGCTGTCGGCGTTCGAGAAGATTTTATGAGATATTTAAGACTGAATATGAAAAATTTGCATACGCTACAACCCTACAACAATTTAATATAACTTTACAGACACTTAAGTACCTAAAACTCAAAAATTCTAAACCTGTACGCTACCCTAACACTCTTCCCTATCAGTCTATGCCCCAATCCCTACCTCACTAATTTATCTCTAGCCCGCAACACTTTAGTTTCGGTTGCACCACCTGGCCTTCTCATTATTATGACGTTGTCTTCGTGACGGATATCGTCCCCACCTCACCTCGGCCCTCTCCCATCTTCCTGCAATCCTCGCAGGTTCGGCCGCGTATTTTATTGATCGAAGCTGCAAATATCTCGCTTTTTCTTTTCCCCACTCCGATCCCGGAAAGCTTTCAAGAGTTGATTTGGCCCTGAAGGAAACGTAGGTGGAAGGAGAAACGACCAAGCGTTGTTTAGCCCCAGGGAATTTTCCAATTTGATTTCGTTTTAAACTTTTTCGAAACCTTTATTAAACATGTTATTCGTGCTTATTAAAGTCTATGATTGTTGATGACATGTGTGATAGTTGTGGAATGGCTAAAGTTTTAGAGTTGTGGATACTATTATTGCGATTGTGTTGTTGATGCCAAATTTGCACTTTTTGCTTTGTCGCGCGATTGGTTTATGCATAGTCTGTGAAAGTATAAACCTTTCTTAATGCTCACATTACCTTTGATCAATGCCAAGTTTCAAACTCAAGACATGAATTTGTTTCCTGTTATCCATATGTAGCACATATTGTTCTTTTGTAAGCACAGCAACATTTTATTAGCTTAAAAGTATTCAAACTTTAAAATAAAATTAAAATTTTTCCTTAACCCAAAATATCACCATAATACGTTACTTTATACCTCACTTTTCATATCACCATCACCGCTACCCTACAACCTCAGATCATCAAATTTAGCTATAAAATAGTTTTATCTTAACACACTAACACCGTGTTCCCTTTTTGTTGGCCAATGTTTGTTCGCACTTGAAAGTGATCTTGTCCCAGGTCCCTTTTCCCGGAATCTTGCGGCTTCTTTTTTGCTTTAACTTTTACAATTTGTAATAGAGGGGATCTTTTCGCACTTATGCAAAACCACTTGACATTAAGTGATCGGCAACAACTTGCACTTTGACAATCAGCATGTTCACGGTTGTTCAAGGTTCTTTTGTTTTGTAAACAGTTTTACTGTATTGTCACATTAAATTCTAGCATGATTACATTGTCTTACGTGTGGATTGTTTGGATATTTTTAATAAACTTATTAATAACATTAATATGGTCTATAAGTTCTAGTAAGCCTATAAAAGTCCTAGAAGACCAGTTGAAGAAAGTTCATTTTTGCTTAACAACATAAATCATAAAAGCGTTAAAATCTATCCTATGTTATCTGTGTTCAGTCAGAAATGACATTTTTAACCGCTATTTTGATTATCTGTTTCAAATTTTATTACATGCCTTTGACCTTACCTCTTTCCCACAAATCTTCACCTCCCACGTGTCTTTTCCATTTTATTTCGACTTTTGACAAATTTTGAGAAATCAAGTTTTATCAACTTTTCTTGATTATTTCCTGTCGTTTACAACTTGTTCTTCTTAAAAATTTTTTCGTCTTTGGTTTTATGCTTATTATTAATTATTTATCGCGATTTGTTATTTCTGTAACTATCCTAAAATACAATTACCATAAAAACGAGTCCCAATTTCAGATCATTCTAACTTGGCCATAAAGATCGGCCCTTGGGTCAGTTCCGTCATCCGACATTTCTAACAATGGGCGACTCCGAAGAACCCCCTAAAGACATTCCATCGGCCGTTTCGCCATCCACCAGTACTCCCGACCCCAACCTCCAGATCAACAATGGAGGCACGGCCAGTTCGAGTTCTGGCCTCGGGACCTCATCGAGTGTCGGGGATGAAGAACCAACAAGAGTTCGGTTCAGCGACAAAACCAAATCGATTCTGGAGGAATCAGAGTTGTTGTTGAAGGAGCAACCAACAGCTTCTGTACTGCTCGGACTTGGGTTACCATCAACAGCAAGAGCGACAACTTCTAGGTATGGCCTTGACCGTGACGACACTGAAGACCAACCGACATCTTCGAGCTACATTTCAACATTACGGAATCCTCTTGAACCGTCACCGTCATTGAGTTATCTGTCAACTCATAGATACGCACTAAATGCACCTACTTTCAACAGAGTAGACTTTGACGACGTTGTTGATGATGCTATCAGGGACAGGAAACCAGCATGGAAGCAACTACAAGATAGCGTCAAGGATTCTTATACTAAAGTAAGCGGTTTCACGTCCAACTAGAAAAACCTACTGTTCAACCAATAAAATATAAAGCTTTATATGTTTTCGTTTTGCAGTATATTCAAATATAACTCCGTAACACAAGTCAATTTTAGCCAAAACGAACCGTCGATAGAAACAAAGACATAAACGAATTCATGGATCTCAATGTATTAAACCGCCGCCGTTCCCGCCGCTCCCAATCGCCCTTCTCCAACCTCGATGGTGAGAGTCTATCGCCACGGAAGCTTTCATGGTACGCTAATGGGGCCATGGAGCCACGAGGGCTGAGGAAAACTGTTTCTTCAGCTTACGTCCCGCCTGGTCCCTATGCTGCGCCAGCTCTTGAGAGGACAAAAGGTATCGAAGGTCGATCACGGTACGACAAGCTCGTCGATGACATTGAAGTACGGTTACTAAAGACGACGTTACTACCCGAATATATGAAGACCGTGACAAAACGAGAGTTTAGACGAGCACCTGGACCAAGTTCAGGTAGCGCAGCTGAAGGAATTGTCAACGACGCAGAGCTAGCGGTAAGTATAATAAAACTATTTTTTACTCTAAGTCTGCAGAAAACAATTGTGTTAAGATTAGACAAAAGACAATGGCTAGCCTTAAAATTTCAGGAATACGCGCCAAAACCGTACTACAGTCGACCAACACGTCGAGATCCCGATTACTTTGATTTTGATCTCGAACATTCAGTCGACATGTATCGAAGACCTGAAGGAAGATATTATCCACGAGGGTAAGGCTACAAGTCCCAAAAATAAAATGAATTTATTCAACCAAAAGTGGCGGGACAATTAATTTGTTTTTTAACTAAAAGTGTCCCGCTACTTTTGGTTCAACCTGTTCCAACACTCACAGTAATACTAAGAAGTATCCAGATGATTATAATATAACGGTTTTAGGCCACAAGATTACGAACAGAAAGTGTTGAGTGATATCAGAGGCAAAGGAGAAGCCCCGATCTCTGGCCACATTTTCAACAACACCGTCGGCGACTGGCGCAACACGGGAACATCTTACCTTAGCGCTGCGCTTAGAACACCCTCATTCTGGGAACATCGATTTAAGAACATTGGATCTCAAGTTAGAGACTCGAACCCAATTAGTTTGGATAGCATTAATAGGTAAGCTAAAGATCCAACAACTGTTTCTTGGCTGATATTATGTTAGGGACACCTACTTCAACAGTTATTGAGCGTTATAAACGTATTTTTATCAAAGTAACAGCTTGCAACTGAATTTCCATAAAATTATGAACATATTTAACATTTCAGAAACCGACCCACCCCCAACCGTTTCACTGAATACAAGGACCCGGACTTTGAAGGTCTCAGCGATGTAGACGACGACTAGATTTACCTATTGTTTAGCTTAATGCACACATACAATTCTAAAACTTCAAAATCACGTACATAGCCCTCACGATCCCAGTACCATTAAGAATCAAGGAAACCAACCATCAAAAGTCAACCATATTAACCATCAGGACTATATTATCCACCCCGATTCAATTATTCGAAAAGCGACCAAACTGTTATTTTTTAATCGCTTTTGTCTCAGGTTACAATTTTCAACCTTTTTTTTAACTCGTATTTTATAAAAGCTAACATAAAACTAAAAAATGGAATCAAAATCTATGAATGTCACTTACCACAATATCCTGTAAATTGTTAAAACTAATGGATCTATGTTGTTGCAGCAGTAACTGTAGTCTTTCTTACATTCATAGGCTGTTCTAGTAATGTTGAGTAGTAATAAAGTCGTTTATTTGATCAACTGTTTTAGGTATAAACGTTAAAAAGCTTAATTGCGATAAAAAACTAGGAAATATCAAAAGAAACATTAACTTACCTTATAAACACGATAAAGCACATTCAACAGATACAAAATTAATACATTATAAGTGCATTGACTAAAAGATTACAAGGAGATCCATCTCCTACAACCCATGGAAATAACGACCGCCTTTTTGAGTCAAGTTTCTCCTCTCGTTTTGTGTCAACTTTTCCTTTTGGTCGGAAAACAAAAAGCTGTAAAGTTTTTTTTTGATGTTGTTGTAGATTAGAGAAGGGTAAGTTGTAATTTTCCATAAATTTTTTAATTTTGTAGCTTATATTGTCTTTGTTAGCTCCACCTCTACATTTTTCGTATATTATCCATGACACGTTTTTTGAAATAAATTCCCCTGATTTTTTATTTTGTCCTTCTAGTTTGTATTACCTAAAAACTGAAGCAGAATGTCTTCGAATGTCTATCAACTGCTTAATTTACGAAACACGCGTCTTGTTGGTTTTGTCTCGAGCAGATGGCACGTGACCGAGAGTTTCATCAACTGAATCATACCTTTTCTTCCGACCAATTATCAGTCGTCGGATTTGTGGGGACCTCGAAATGACCTTTGGTGAATGTTATATTCAAATAAATAAGCGCGCCTTATCTCGGAATGATAAAGTGGAAGAACTTGAAGGTTTTTACAATAGAAGACAACACACGAAACGTTGTGATAGGGTCCGGAAAGACTTGGAAATGGCTTTAAACTAATGTTTTAGCGATATTAACCGCTCCAATTTATTAAAACACGCTGACGTTCCAAAACGTGCTGGCGTAATGATCTTTTGCTGGAGTTTTGGGGGATTTGGGTTGATTTTTTGGGTTTTAAATATTTTAGGTTGGATATTTGATTTTACATATTTATGTTTTTATACATTTTTGGGGAGGGTAGATATAGTTAATATGATGTTTTACATTTTTAAATATTTTGAAAATTATTTGTGTTTTATGGTCACTTACTACCTTTCTCACACTCATAACTTGCAGAAAAAGTGAGATTGTAACTTTGTGTAATATCGATATAAACTACTTTTTAAAATGTTTGCAAAAATAGCTTTTGGCATTTAAGTTTTGTGGTTTAAAGCAGTATCTACCTTCAATGTTTTATATATAACACATCAAATTGCAACGAAACCATTGCATGACAAAAAAGGTGAATATAGATTGCAAAAACTTGATAAATGATTGTATAATATCTTTACAGAATTGCTGATTATACCTTTATGGAGTTGTTGATTGTAATATTGTGATAGGATAGTTGTTTACATCGATTTTCCGTTATATTGTTCACATTTTTATCGATATTTAGTGTTTTTCTAGGCCTTATTGAACTTGTTATCAGTTTGGTCATAACTTGTCGTTGAGGTGTTACGAGGGATGACTATGTTGTTTGTAAGCACGTGGGTTCGTATTTCTTTGGTATGTCGTAAATGAGTTGAAATCAATTTTCCTTCCGGCGTTTATTGATGTTTAAAAGAGTGTTTGATTAGGTATTTCTGAAAATTAGTCTTCAATTTGAGTACTAATGTGTCACAATACTGTTATCTAAAATATTTGTGTGGCTTTTTTTTTTATTTTTGTGTTTTTATAGTTAACGTTAGGGTAGAGTAGAACGCGATTATTGCTTTCTAGTTTTAAAAGTTACAATAAATGAAACTAAATTTGTGATTAATGGCAGTAGTGTAGCTTTCTTTCTTTTTTGAAGAGCTAAATACAAGTTTTGATTTTTTTTTAAATTTTAGGTTTTTAATTGATTTTATCTTATTGTAGGAATTATTATATTTTTATGTTTTATGCCTTTTTGGGTATGCTAATATAAAAAATTGTAAACTTACAATTCAAATTTGAAAGTGTAGCCATGTGACCCTTTAATGTTACTTTCACTGAATTTACTCGCAACAAAAGTGAATTTAATTACATTAGGAGATCAGCACTTGATCAACAAACACTGTAACGTTGCTAGTAGTTTGTGTTCCTTAAAATTACAATTTCCGTTGAAAGAATAGTTAAACTTAAATAACTAAGTTTTAAAGCTAGCAATTTTATTCGGCCACAGCCAATACACAAAGTTTAAATCTTTTTTTAAGTTTGGCTTAATTTCGATTTTCAGACTAATTTTTTAAAATTTTAAACTAAAAATATTTTTAAAAATTTTTATGACACCTTTAAGATAAGACTAAAAATTGATGATCTACATTGATTTCCTGTTACAAAACATCGTTTTTAAAGGGAGTTCCACTTATCTTGTCTTAATTACACCATAAAATCGACCTCCAATGTAGAAAAAGTGAAATTTTGAAACGGAGACTCATCTCGTTATCAGCCAAATAGGGCTAATAGACACTTGGGATTGACATATTCAATGAGGAAGGCATATCATATATTAGTGTTGATTAGTTTACAATTGTTATAAGTTCTATATTTGGGCTTCATTGTAGTTTAGTTTGGCACGTGGACTTTTAGAAAGGCTTGAATATTGTTGTAGGCATGATCAGGATCGGCGCAGATTTTGAGTTTCGGGGAATAGAAATGGGTAATGGCCAGGCTTGGACACAGGGCAGGGTGCCCTGTGCCCTGCCCTGTTACAGGGCAGGGCATAGATTGGAACAGGGCAGGGCATGCCCTATGCCCTGCATTACCCTACAAATGCCCTGTTTGTGCTATGGCAAGTTTTGGTGGACGCCTCCGCCGAGCGGTCGATAATTGGCGGACGCCATAACTTGGTAAGTTTAGCAGCTAGAAACATGTAGTTCAATTCAGAAGTTATTATATGTCATACGCTACAAGTAAAAGCATAATTTTAAGATTTTAAAAGTAGTATTGTTATCGACCGGTTGATAATTTTTAGTATATTTTAATCGCAAATTTCATATATATTCTTATCGCTCTGTTGTTCTAAATTGTATAGAAATTGCATTAGATACAATTCTAAGCAAAAAACTTTGTTTTTTGTAAAAATTAAACATTTGTAAATTATCGACCGGTCGATAACAATATTTTTTTAAAAACATAAATTTCTGGCTTAATGTGTAGGTTATGATAGATAACAACTTCTGCACGTAACTACATTTTTCTAGCTGCTAAACTAACCAAGTTATGACGTCCGCCGATTATCGACCACTCGGCGGAGGCGTCCGCCAAAATATACCCAAATGCCCTGTAAATACCCAGTAAATGCCCTGCTGCTCTGCAGGGCAAGGGCAGGGCATAAAACCCCGATGCCCTGTACAGGGCAGGGCACAGGGCAGGGCATGGAAATTTGCTAATGCCCTGCCCTGTGTCCAAGCCTGGTAATGGGACGGTCTATAAAAATTTGGTTTGGTCTTTGAACTAGTTTAAACGATGTTCTATAACTTTATAATTTTCAATAAGATATTTTTGTTTTTACGCTGAGAAGTCTCAAAGTTAATTGACCACTTTTTCTAATCAAAGTTGTAATTTGACCATGATTTGTCGCTTTATTACTGCTGACTTTTGTATCTCTTGACATTGTAATATAACTTGATAAGCTTCCAACTGGACTTTGTCCGTTTTACATTTATTTTTCAATACGAACGGCTTCTTTTTACCTCTAAAATTGTTTGTTTTTGGTGTTTATCAGGGGAATTGTTGCTTATTTATCTTGTAATACCTCGACACTTATCAATGCAATCCTACCGAAACGCGAAATTGCAACTTTTTGTTGTGATCGCCTTTGATTATATTAATATATCAAGTTTCTTGTTGTTGGAGACAACGTCAGCACAAGCTTGGCGTTATCAACAAAACTCGAATTTGTGATTTAAATGTTTGTGGTTTGCTTACAAGTAATTTTGTTGTAAACAAAGTTCGGACTGAAAAAGTATTGGACCGGCTAAATACAAAAAAAAATTTAAAAAAATGCGAAAGTCTGCTGCAAAATAACTTTATCTTGATTTTTTAGCCTTTTGTTATCCAAAATATTTTTACATCATTTGATAACAAAATCCATAAATTTTTTTGAATTACAATTTAATAACTTTGTAAAGACTTTAATTATATTATTCTACTTTTTGCCCTTACTTTTAAAACCTAGATCATATTTCTTTTTTCAACGCAAGTTTGGTAAAAATCTTCTGACAAACTCAATCGTTCCCAATTGGGGCTCCATCCAGATGATCTTGTTTCTCGAGCTATAGAGTCGTGATGAGGTGCTCTTCAAGGCTTCAGTTCATAGTCGGAAGTCTGAAAAAGGTTTTATTGAAATGTATAAGCGTTGGGTATTATATAAACTAGTCATTAAGCTTTTTTTTGTAAAATACATAATTTATTCTTAACAATAACTTTTATAATTTTAATGTAAAGTCTGAAGTTTGTAAAAATATTAAATTAGTAAGTGGCGTTGCCTTAGGGTTTACAAGTTTTTCTTCTAAATTTAGATCTTAATTGGAGTCGGGGTAGATTACATAAGAGCTGATAATTTTTAATATATCATTGTAATGTGACTTTTAGTCTTTTCTTCTCAAGTATTTTATCACTTTTTCATACTTTTTTATTAGGAAACTCTTAACAACTACAGTACAAGATATGTGTAGACTAGATGTAGATAGTCATAACTTACAATTTTTTTCTATTATCTTAGTTTTTAACTAGCTTCAGTATGGTGCTGAATTTTTTTAAAGGACCAGTCAACCCAAATTTTAAGCTTTAAAACTCTGAAGTACTTGTTTTTCTTAAAGCTTTGTTTGTTATTGTACTTGCCTATGAACGTCTATCAATAGGTGGTGTTTGAATACCCTTTTTGATATCAGACAGTCTTCATAATCCTGTCATAATATGTGATATCACTGTAATCACCAACTTGAACTCATACTTCAAGCAGTTTTAAGTTTTTATCACTGTAGATCTCATTCTTTTATCAATGTGAACCCCAATTTGAACTCAATAGGTTATTTATAGTCACACGTAATGTGTGGCCATGTTATTAAGGGGTTTTCTTCATATTAGGAACGTTGGTTGTAGCTTAAAAATAAAGTATAAGGTAAAAGCGATTAAGTTGATCTATAAAAAATATAAATTCAGTTTCTATTGTAGAAATGTAAAAACATGGTAAAGCATAGTACATTTAGATGATATACATGATATATGAGGAAAGGACCGGGCTTAGGGCCGGGCAGGACCTAACACTTAGGTACGGCTTTGAAAAATGGGTTGGGCCCGGTTTGTTCCTCATGTTTAAATGTATGGCATGCGTTTATCCATCATCAATAAAAAAAGCATTTTTTACATTACAGTAAAGTATCATCGTAACTTTTTAAATCAACTTACAGTTTACACGTTTGAGCAAAGTCTAACGAACAGATACTTGTCTCATCCATTAAAATAACTTTAAATTTCATACGTAGCTTTACAATAACATTGAATACGTACATGATCCTCCTTACCGTCTACTTCTTTGACAATTCTTTGTAATTGCATCTGCATGTGTGGCCTCAGGGGAAAGCCGAAGCGTAAATCAATCAAAAGTTAAGAGTACATCATATCAATCGAATTTCTTGCTTTTTTCGATGTAGCCTGTGCAAAAAAAAGTTTCCTCAGACTGTACTTTTAAACTCGCAGTGCAGAAAAACCGGGTATATAATTAGATAAAGTGATAAGAATTAGCATACTACGGTAAATACAGGCGACGACTTCTGTTTCGTCAACAAACAACCTTTTTATGGGCTTAAAGTGCAAATTGTAAAGCTTGTTTGAGCTAAAAGGGCAAGTTGTGGAACGTTTTTTGAGCTAATAGTGCAAGTCGTGGAAAAAATGCACTTTACAAAAGACACTTTTTGGCAAAAAATGCTGTAAAAACTTTACAGTTGGTCAATTTTAGTAGAATAGCACAATAATGTTGTTACAAAACCCTTGAAAACAACTGATAATTGATAATTGTAAGAAAAAAAAACAACTGCATACGGTAGAATGCAAAGATCAATAACAATACAATTTTAAAGTTTGCCAGAGTATTTTAATATTTGGCAGTTTAATACTAACATATAGCTGATATACTTTACTTTGACCTGTAATGTGCACCCATAAGTATATAGTTTAAGTTACTATCTTTTAGTGTTATGGTTGGCAAAAAACAACAACGTTGCTTGAGTCTTTGCTCAGTTCTTTGATGGAGCAAACAAAACTTCTTGATACTGGCACGTGAAGCTAAGTTACTGTTTCCTGATTGCATGAGGTTGTACCGTACTTTGGTGGCATTCCATATTGTTTTTGGCAAAATGTTTGGTTTATACGTACATGGTTATAATAGTTCTTTAGTCATGTTTATTTTGTAGAGGTTTTATATAAAAATTCTTTAAAATTCTATCAGTTTGTCTTATCTTACTATTTTTAACTGAACATTAACTACCATTTTTAAAAGATACCAAAAATGTTTTCTGAGAAAACATTACAAAAACTCTTTTTTTACACAACTACACCGCAGTAATGTTGCAATATCTCTTGTTGACAAGCCTGCAAACAAACTTTTGGTCTTTGTACACGTGTCCCACCGTTCTCGGTGATTATCTGCGGAATCATCGAAACCAACAAAATGAAACATTGAGGAACTACAAGATAAACCCCATGCTGTTAATAATGGCATGGAAATGCAGTGGCAACCAAAGAACGGTGTTGTTGCGTTCGTTATCGCGACGTGTTCGTTCACATGAATTACAACCGTGCTATCGCTATTTCGGGTGGTATCAATAAAAAAACATAATAAGCCTTTTCTTCTGCAGATTCCTCAATGTTTGCAGTTGAGAGATGAAGTCCAACTCCATCTCCGACGGTAACGACGTCTTCAGCAACGACCCCTTCTTGTCGTTGGACACGGATCTGGATGATGTTAGTGGTGAGTTTGGAATTGTGATTATTGTGGTTGAAACTTTTAGTTTTTTCTTTTATAGTATTATATAAGCAGTATTAAAAAAGTAATTGTGCTTCAAACCAAAATTTTTAAATTTTGCTTTTTTAACTTAAAAATCGAATTTTTAATGGTCCTTACAGTATAATAAATATTTCTCTTGAAGCAATTTGAAATTTTGAAATTTGTTGACAAAAGCTTTCAAAACTTGTTATCCAATCTTCATCTTTGAATAACACGTATCAATAAGTTTGTAATGTTTTAGAGGTGATCAAGAGCATAAGTACAGAATCTCGAGGTTTGTTCGAAGGCAGTAGAACACCATCACCACAATACATGAAGGACACCGACGTTTATGCCCAGCCGTCGTACGCTACATCGTATCATAGTGGATACAACGAGGAGATGTACGATGTAAGTGGTTTCTTATATTATTCTTATTACGATCTAATATACGAGGTGAATATTGAAATTTGGCGTCACTTTAGCCTTAAATGACTATTTTTATTTTGTTTATATTGCCAATGTTTCCTTTTTTATTGTTTATATGTCTCTGTTATGAAATGTTATTTGTCTGTGACTTTACTGCTAGTTACCCACATTTACTAGCTATTTTAAGCCACTTACAGAGTTAGAATCGTATCTTTGTGAACCGTGTGAACTTGTAATTTGTGTTTCTTTAACTATTTACTCGAGGCGTTGTAATTTCCAACAAAGCAAAGAGGGAGGACCGCATTACTGTTATCAGTGCGGTCGGAGAGGAGGATCACCGCCTTTCCGTCCGTATAAATTGAAGCCCAGATATTGTGTTCGATTCTATTCTCACGGTATTGTGTTGCTTATAGTTACAGTCATACTATTCAGTACTAGGCTATATATAGATTAAGTTTGGTGTAGTAGCTAGCCATTAACAGACAAATTACTGATTTTAATCAATTAGTAATTTTGTATTACACTAACCTTTAGGCTGTTTTACTTAAATAGCCTTTTCAAAGTGCAAGATTTTTTGGCAAACATTTACAATTACCACAGCAGCTATAGTCGTACAATTCTACATCTTCTACACGGTTTCCGTTACTATTGTTTATTTGATCTAATACTTTATTTGAACACTTATTAAGCGTATAGCCAACTCTAAAGCCATTAGGTCAACTCAAACTTCATTCACTATAATTGATACACCATCATGTCCGTGTTATTCCAGCCAATCCAACAACAACACCAATTCCACCATCTACCCCCATCCAACGACCAATACGACCCGACCAAAGCCCGAGAGATCGGTCAAATCATGATGCATCTACAAGATCAACCAACATATCAACCATACGACAACATACCTCAACAACAACGTAACCCCTACGCGATGCGACAGTCGACCAGTCAAACAAACGCTCAGCCCTACTTTAATGGTAAACAAGAGGTCTATGTTCAGATGATAGACGACCACCAGCAGAACCGACCAGTTGGCTACAGTGAAGAGAAAATGGACTTTGAAGCCCCAAGAGAGAATTCTGGATTCATGGGTTACGCGAGTGACGGTGCTTACGATTACTCGACATACGATAGGCCTCATAACTCTGAATATGTAGCTGGGTTCGGCAAAACGGTAAGATATTTTAAAGTAGTAATCAGTGTTTTGTCAGCTATTTATAGTTACTTGATGAAAAAGATCTATTTAATTCTGACAAAAATATTTAAAGCTACATTTATCTCTTACTGTGTAATTAGAAACATGCTATCTCAATTTCTAATTTTTAGCCCAACAACCCAAGAACAAACCGAACGTATTCGCAATCTCAAGATAACATTACTATGTCAGCGTATACCCAACAACACGACGCTCAGCCATCTACATCAACTAAACATGAGCTTATCAAAATGCTACTGGAAATGACTCCAGATGATGTGAGTTTTCAAACTTTACAAGGCAAACAGTCAATTTTAAAACGTTTCAAACGTTCTTTAAATCTAATATGAGTTGTCGGTTTATCTTAATCCAATGTATATGCTTTATGTCTTGTTTTATTAATCAAAAGTATTTATTTAGTTTATAAAGTGCATATTTTAGATTGAAAACCTTCGAAAACAAAAGTCGAATCACTCCGGAAGTCCGCAGAGTTCTTTGGTCGATATTTCCGTCAAGCCTCACGAACCTATTTCTCCAACTCCAGCTGATCCAATCCGGAAGTCTAGCCACCAAAACCTTAGCCAAGTGGCCACAACTTCAAGTTTCTACCTTAGCCCAAGTTCAGGCGAAAATGTAAGTTTTTGAAATTTTAAAAATAACAACATCTTTGAAAAGCTTTCCTCAGGAGGTTGTCGTCTAGCTATTTCGATAAAGGCTAGACTGTACTTTTAGTTTTTGAAATTTAACTAAGATTACACTTGATAAGACGCTTTATATTGGGTGGTCAAAAGATGATACCGCTGATAATATATATAGGTATAATTAGGAGTTAAGGTATATCATAATAACTATTAAGTACCTGAGCTACATACTAACTATAGTAGGCTGTCTTGCTTATTATAGTTACTTCACTATATATCAGCCTAGTACTACTGTGTCTTATAGATAAAGCTATGTTACTTCAATTTGAAAGAGCCTTCAAACGAGATCGAAGCTTTTTTAAATTTTACAGCACTTTATCTTATAGTACATCGAAAGCAACATTATCCGATGGCAATAAAACAGTGTACTTTAAGTGTACATTTCGAACTTTGTCCGCAAACAATAGAATTTTGGGCAAACAAAACGTAAAAGTAATCACTGTAACTGATAACAGCCTGTTTGCAAACCCAGAATGACAGACGAAAGGTTTTACGATAGTCATGCTTACAGTTTGATAGCGACTTAATAGTAATGCGTTATTGTAAACAAGTTGATATAGGTGTTTGTCGATTTGAAATGACTAGAATGCTTCAGAAAGACAGAGCAAAAGAAAGAATATATAAGCTTATATGTAAGATAATATCAATATAAAACTAAAATGTTAAAGAATATTGCGATTAATTTAGGAAAACATCTAATTGTACCTATTTCAGCTATCAGTAACCTCTCCAAGCTTCGACAGTCCCAAATCAGGATCAAATGGAGATCATAGTCCTCAAGGAGAAAGTGACAATGAAGACGACTTTGCCATGCCAATGAGAAAAGGTCCAAAAACAGAAAGGAGGACAGCTCACAACCTGATCGAAAAGAAATACAGATGCTCCATCAACGACCGTATAACACACTTGAAGGACATGTTGGCTCCTGAAGAAGCTAAAGTAAGCATATTTTATTTTTTAAGAATACCTTTTTTCATTAACCGTTGGCCACTTGTCAAGTCATCAACAATTTTTACCCGAAAGCAACAGATACGATATGAAATACCTAGTACAATATCAGACACCAATATCATTTAATTAACTATAATATAATTTTCAGCTGAGCAAATCCGCGACTCTTCGCAAAGCCATCGAGCACATCAACGCCCTCCGCCAACAGAATCTGGATCTGATGCAGGAGAACGAACGTCTTCGCACCGCTCTTCAACAGATCGGCGGAGACTTTGCTGCGCCAATGAAATACTCGCCTCAGAGGGATGGGAAGAACAGTCAGGTCTGGTTACCACTCTATGTTAATGCCCTGAGGGGAGGTGTCGGTCTGGGTGCCATTGTCGGTGATAATTAATTCGGTTATCTCTATATTACTTTACATTTGTGACATTATTTTACTTTAAACCTATTTATCTTATCATCATTCTAAACAATTCTACGTCTATGTTTTTACATATCTGACCTATTATATGCAATGACCTTCAATCTTTCTATAATATCAAATAATGTCCTACAAGACATCCTACAACGTAAACTAACGATCATCCTTAACATATACATATTGACATTGAAACAGAGCTATAAATAAAGACGGTGCAACATATCTTTTCCCTCTCAAATGTTATCTTTCACTGATTGTAAGTCTTGAGCAATAAACAGCGGCAATATATTGTTATAAATAAAGTGAACCAATACTTTGTACGGTATCAGTAAGTGTGTATCATGAACAATAAATAAACTACAATGTAAAAGAAATTTTGAAACTAAACGACATAGTGATTTGATAGAAAAGTAAAACCAAGTCAATGAAAAGACATATTGTAGTAGGTAAAACGTGTTTTGGAATAATACACACTTACTATATTGTTGTAAAATGTAATTGTAATGAAGCAACAGACCGACACTTCCCTATTGCAATCCTGAAAAGACCACAGTAAATAAAAATCCTTGATATAACTATACTTAATGATATGTAACTATATTTGATGACATTGTCAATAAACTTGTGTTTTCAGAGCAAAGAACAGAAGAAGAAAGCCATGATGGATCGTTCCCGGGTCAGCTTATCAGTGTTTATGTTGGTATTCCTCACCTATAACCCTCTATCCATGGTTATGTCAACCACGGACGTGAGCCCACTACCCAACATGACTGCCGTACATCATCGTACTCTGAACGACTACGACTACCATAAACAACCGACCTCAACCTTCTGGGAACGAACGTTCACTCAACATGCAATAATATGGGCAGTAAACGCAGCCATCGTATGTGCAATATTGACAAAGTTGTTAGTGCATGGAGAACCTGTAGTAGATAGACTGTTACCTACATGGAAGATATTCATGAAGGCGAAACAACAAGCTCACGATGCTGTAGCCGCGTGTAACAACAGAGAAGCACAGAGACAGCTGGTTGATGCTCTACATGTAAGTCTTTCTTGTTCGATGATATATATTTCTTAAAATGATTTTTTTGAACGGGCAGTACATTTATTGTGAATAACACAATAAATGCAAAAATATTAAAGACAACTTAAATAAACTTTTCAGCTACTGGGAAGAGACATACCATCAGCTGGTGGACTAGAAGAGTGGATTTCATTGTTTTGGCAATTGATAAGACATGGTCTGAATGGGATATGGGTAGGAAGATGGTTCTCAAGAAGGCGAAGATCAAAGACGATGCCACCAACAGCTGTATGCAAATCACACGCCACTACTGCTTTGGTATATCATCAGTTAAACCAAGTAAGATTTATCTTAAACATTCAATTTTATATCAGAACCAAAAATATTATTCTACCTATCCTTACGTTTTTGCAACAAACCATGTTACCACGTTATTAACAAAAATATTATTACCTTCAGCTCCATCTCATTGGAATAGACAACGGAGAAAATGGAAAACTCTCTGGCCTAATCCTTGCGCTAACAGCCGTGAATCTGGCAGAATCGGCTGGAATCGCTTCAGATGGTGTTTCTCATCGTCAACGTGCCGATATCTACATTCACGCTGCACTCCGTGCCAAAGTATCGTTACCTAGGTGGTTGAGTCGCCTCTGGCTTTCGTATTTTATGCGACGAGCTCGTAGACATGTTCGTAAAAGCAACACAGTAGATAACATTGAGATGAAGTCTTATCAATGGATATTCCATCCTTTGGCAAAGACTTTCTTGTCGGATCCAGCAGCCATGAAGGAGATTCTGGAGAACAGTCGACAATCTATTCATTACCCCTTCTCAAGCATTCAATCTTCACGTGAGTTTCGAACTGTCAATGATAAGAAAGCCCAATTTGTTTATAATATTGTTATAAAAAGTAAATTTTTGAAAGAAATGCTAAAATATCGGAAAGTCCTGCTAATTTTATAAACAAGGTTCACGTGAATAAGAGCTAAATCTGTTTTTGAATATTAACCATCCATAGATCTGCACATAAGTTCTTAAACTTAAATCTACATCAATATACCAATGTTAACATTCACCAATCTGCCTGTAAAACTAGTGCAAAACAATTAATTTTAGCCAAACCAATCGAACGTCTCACAAGTGCCTTCAAGATGCATTTACTAGCTCTTTTAGTCAACCAACTCAATTCAGCAAGTGGAGAAATCACTTTGACAGACTTTGTTGAGGTATCTCACTTACTATTGAGTATATCTACAGCGGACAACCTTGATCGAACCTCAGAGAGTTCAGGTGAAGAAAACATGAACAACAACGGTATGTTATGACGTACAATAAAACTATTTTTGCTTTGATAAGATACTGATTTCAACGAATAATGTGGAGAAATTCCATGTCAATATAAATGGTTTTTTCTATATTGACATGGAATTCAGGGTTACAAAATTAGACAGTTTCGTGGAAAACACGTTTTGATTATCAGTACTCAGAAATCAAGACCAATAAAGTTTATGTTATCATAGATTTTCCAATTAGGAACGTCTTAATGATAAAAAACATAAAACAAATAATAGCAAAATTGGGAAAATTAACTGTAAAAATTCAAAAAGTGTAAATAAAAAATTGAAACGAAAAAAAAATCATTTTTCTTATAAAAAATTCGAATATTTCGTGATAAAAATCGCCATATCACGATTAAATTGGTCCTGGCACGGAAAATTCCTTGATAAAAAGATCTTTGGCATCATGTTTTTTGCAATTCTTATTGAAAAAAATAACAGATCTATGTCTAGATACTGTTTCTACAATATATTTACTGACAATATACCTGGTTTGAATTTATGATTTTGTGATCTTTTCAGTCAGAAGATCAAGTATAGATTGGGAGAAGGTGCCATTGAACAAAGGGGACCCCTTGATTGTCTGGTGGACTCATTTGGTCAGTTGTGGATTATATTGGCGGCATGGGGACTATGGCCGAGCTCAAACCCACTTTACACTCATTAGGAAATGTCCTCCACAGTTGTTACAGTGGTATGTTGATATTTATCTTTGTTTTAGGTTATAACGAATAATATTGACGTTATTTTAACGTAATATCATTAATATTACTTTAATTCTCAATAGTTTTTGTTGAACTTTAATAATACAGAGCTCTATAACTATAATTTTAGCTTATGTTTATTGGTTTTATAGTTAACTTAAGTTATATTGTTTTAGTGAGCTTGCTCTTGGGGTTGGAATGGCATTTTGTGCCCGGAAGATATGTATAAATGATAGACATAAGAATAACTTTTCTGACATGGTATGGCTACACGTGAGGAAGTCGTACGAACACATGCACAAGGATGATACGCCTAACATACGATCGTCTTCTAACATGGTTATCGCATTGAATGTAAGTTTCTTATTATTGTTTTTTGAATTTTCAGGTAGATCTTGAAGTAATTTTGGTTTTTTATGGAATATCATTGAATAAATGCATTAATTTGTACAAAACTTTGTGTTATAGTAGAACTTATAGACTTCATTGTGTTTTCGCTTTAAAAAAGGTAAATATTTACTTTATACTTTTATTTCAGCAACTATTTCACTGTCTAACATACGAATGGTGTCTTACTAGCCTAATAGATGTATGGCACGTCAACTTAAAGACAGAGAAGCCATTTTGGGATCAACATGCTCCAAACCAGCTTCGTCAACTGTACCAGGATTTGCTATTGGCTTACAAGACGTTTGGTCGAAAGAGTTCTTACCGTTTAAAGTTTTTGGTTTTCAAAATAATTGGCAGATTTTTATGTGGAGCAAATCCTTTGACAACGTGGAGACTTCTGACCAAACATTGTAGGTTTCTGGTACTTCAAGATGTCGACAATCTGTCATTTGACATGAATGTTCAGGTCCAAGTGGTGAAGAGGCTTAGGAATGACATAAGGAACATTTGCAATGCTAAAAGTTTTTAAATTTTTGTAACTTTGTTTGCTGTTGGAAGATATATTGATATGGATAGTAAGATAACGAGATTTTTGTTGGATTTTAATAAATTGTATTATAATAACTAGCATTGATACTACATGAAGTTAAACGCTTTGTTTTACTTACTTTTTTCTTTACTGAATTTTTTCATTTTACTGTATCTTATTTAGCAATTTTACTATTTACAGTAAGTTGTTCGTGTTTAATGTTTAACTTTTTAATAATATGCTCTCATAGTAATACATTCTTTATTAATATAATTATTATGACTAAAAATCTGCAATCTACATGATACTGTACATTCACTGTGACCGGGATTACATAACAGTTGATAGGTATATATTCTAGAAAGTAGATCACATTCAACAATATTTAGGTAACGTTTAAGGACCTTAAACAACCTCAATATTATAGTAGGAGTATGGGTGGCACAAAAGTCTTCGGGATTTTTTAAATCTTACACTTTTAGTATTCTTTTTTTTTAAATTTCTTTTTTAAATTTTGTGCCAACCGGTTAAAAAAAGTAACAAAGTACTGACAAAACTAATAGGTACTTAAGATAGGACTAAACGGTTTTGTATTCAATGTCACCCGATGCGCGAAATAGTAGAGACTGGTGTACTAACATAGTACGAACGTATAATATAACACATACAACAATAAACAGATGTGAGATCGACAAATGTAATGACCATCGAAGAGGTGAATATATATAGTTTTGTAGGTTTGGGGCTTTTTTGTTTGGAATAGGACTTAAAACTAGGACTAAACTTGTTTAGGAATAGTTCTATGTTGTGTTAGGTACAGGGCTCTATAGCAGATGTCAGACTATATAGGCTTTATAAATGTAGGATTCTACTTTTAAAGTTACTGTTTTCTATGTTGTTGTAGGTATAGAGCTACAAGTTTTACAATTTTCTAAAGTTATTTAGGTTTAGGGCTCTCGTTGTTGTAGCCGAAGACAAGCCTGGGCTAGCTGTGGTGGAGCAGTCCAGCCATGCGCGCCTGGGCCAAATTTGTAGACTAGTTTCTTAGGGTATAGACCGGTCTTTGGTACCGGGACTAGGATTTGCTTCTCGTAGTATGTCCTGAAAAAGTTTCATTTAAAGAGGGTTCGGATTTAGTTGAAGACTTATAGTTATTTTTTGTCTATCCTCAAAAAGCTAGCTAAAGTGGTACTTTTAGTATAATAAAAAGTGTATAAGTTGTCATAGTAAATTGTAGATTGTCAAAGCTCTTACCTCATAGCTCGACTAAGCTTTTCGTATGTCATTTTCTGATTATTCTTCTTCTCTCCCCATAATCGTGCCAACTTTTCTGATTCTACGATTCTGAAGACACCTTGTTCTGGGTCTTCCCATCGTACAATGGTCGGACATGTACTTGGGTCTTTCAGAGCATCACGAATGAACTCCCATAACTTGTTACCCTTCGTATGTTGGGATCGCTTTCTTGGTCGACCATCTTTGTTCTTACGAACTTTGGGGTAGTCGTCTAGGGTACCTAAAGCAACATGGTTAGAAATAACTGATTTGTGTTTAATTCTTTATTTTACAGTATTTATGTGTTTAAGCCTTTGCTTTACAGTTCATGTCTCTAAATAAAGAAAAGAATGTCATATTGAACTTACTGGAGCTCTCGTAGCCATTAGTCATTGGAGGAGCAAGATGTTGTCCAAAACTCATGTTAGGAGAGTGTTGAGCTTGAATGTTGCGCAAGATTTGTTGTTGTTGCTGCTGTTGCAACGCCTGTTGATGTTGTTGGTGTGCTCGTTGTTGTGATTGTAACTGATTCATCTGATTGGCTGCCGTTTGTTGTGTTAGATGTGGATGTGTGGCGTAGAAAGTCTGCAAATAACATGATTAATATGTGTTAAATGAATATTAATTGTTTCTGGAAGGTTGTTTACATTTAATTTAAAAAAAGCAAGGAAAAATAGAAAGGTTGATACCTAAATATCAATGCAATAGGCAAAAGAATTGCGGGTAGAAATTGACATAAAGCAGATTTAGGTAGCTAAAAGCAGTTTTGGAAGAAGTATTGAGCCATTGAGTTTAAAAACTGTTGTAATTAAGGAAAGATTAACATACAAAAGAATGACGGAAGACAAAACGAAAGAACAACTGATGTTATATAGTATAACAAGATTAAAGAGTAAGCAAAAAATATCATACTGGAAGCCAGTTTCTTACCATACACAGAAGTTCATAAATTCTCAGACTATCGATGTAGTCAATCAAGAGGTCAGGCATCGTATTTTAGTTTGAGTTTACACTTAACTAGAAGTTGTAGTATAAGGTGAGAACTAGTATAATATAAGTAGAACGCTCGCTAAGTAAAACAATGCTTATTTACTCAAAGATCTTGTTATCGACTTCCGTTTTTTTAAATCCTCGAGAGTTTTCTGATGGTTTAATGAAAAAACGGACTGGGATAGTAAACCTTTAGAAAACTTGATTTTTCAATTTTATTTTATTTTGGTATTAGAAATTATAATAACTGCCAAAAAGTAACCCTACTGTCTATACCTACGAAAGGAGCGAGAAGCAGTAACTATTTATCAGTTTTATGCATTTCTTATTGGTCAATGGCCGTTGGGTCGGTTAACTGATACAATAAGAAAGCTGTTTTTTGGTGTTTGTGATCTGTTAAAAGCGGAAAACACATGTTACGGACCGATTTTAACACAACAGCCAGTTATTTTACTACTGATGAGGTTCATTTTATAAAATTTATTTTGAGAAATCGACTACCTTGAAGTAAGCATTGTAGGTAATTATTATATTTTAGTTGCCCTGAACCCACTTTGACCTTTAAACTATATCTTACTGTACCCCAGGTGTCTATGTCCCCGCAAAAACCTATCACTCTCGTCTCCATTCATAACATCAAGTGCAAGGGCTGTGTCTTTCAATCACTGCCCATTTCCGCGTTATCAGACCTCAAAGATTAGATAAACAATCAACAACAGGTCGACACTTTTGCAAGATAATTCAGAAACGAATACGAAATGAAATTCGTGGTACTGAAACTACAATAATTCAAAGTTGACAAGAATTGATAATTAGCATGATTGCTTTTCTCAAGCCTAGAATGACAATTGGTCCTAAAAACTAATGTTTGATAAAAGATGACAAAAGATAAGATATTATAAAAAAGTACAATATAGTTAAAACAACACGATACGATTCTGTAAGCTTGATCAGACTAATAGTAGATCCCAAAAATCATATCTTTTTAATAAATTTTGCGATATATGAGGCAATGTTGCAAACAAAATAATCAAACATTTACAACCTGATTGGTTGAATGACAGTTACAAAAATAGGTGACCACAAACAACTACGGTAACTCGAATTGTTTGCAAATTACTAATGAATTGGTGTGGGAAAACAGAATTACGCTTACAGAAGATCAAAAACTTGAACAACGTTACAACGCGAGAAAGGTTTTAACGTGGTGTAACAAGGAAGCGTTCATGATATGATGGTTTTGTACTACGGTAAAGAGGGTACCGTAGTTTATTAAACCATCAGACTAAAAAATAAAAGATTGGATAACAAATTGACTGCGTTATGGTATACAAACTGTGCCTATACCAATATATCAACAAACAATAGACAGTTAAAGGAAGTATCCTACTTTAAATATCATTATATTGATGTTACTACAACAATATTAGCTTGTTTATCAAAGCAATGACATGATCCCGAAACCCAGAATGATGCTACGGAGCGGTGTACCCCGGCTTATCACCGTTCTTCCTGACCTTGATAAGCGAAAACAGATAAAAGGAAGTGTCTATTCGGACGTGAATCACGTCGCCTATCACACTCGACTTCCGCATTTGGAGTGTGCTTTCGCAATTAACTTTTTGTAAATGCTGCATAAATATTAAAAAGGCATTGTAAGGGAATACGGAAGTGGAAACATACAAAACATAATGTAACAGTTGATTGGAAAAGGTATACAACTTGTAAAGATATATGGAACTTTACCATGGTAAATTTGTGAACAGATGATAAGATAGACTTATAGCAGGATAATGTACTATTTCTATAAACGGATGTAAAACAGGATGATGCCGAAGCTACATATAGAGATGGCGTACACCATCTAAAAGGGAAAGGTACAAAGTTGTATTCTGAGAAAGACGGGAAACTACTACGTTGTAAGTAGTAATTTTGTAGTGAAACATCTTTGTTAAGATATTCAAAACACTCTAGTAACTTCTTGGTTACGCAAACTGTATTTTAACATTTTTACGCACTATGCAGCCTTACAACATAATACGATAGTTGGTGACTCAAGTATTTTCAACAGTATGACTGACGTTGTCAGAAATTGCAAAAGACTGTAAGTGTTTATGACAAACAACATTGCTTCCTAACAGTAATCGACGATATAGAATACTGTAAAATTGTGCAGAGTTTAGTAGTGTACTATGTAGGTAAAGCATGTTAATATGCATTTACAGATAAAACAAGTATAACATAGAAAAAATACTGAAGAATAGACAAAAAAAGTAAAGTAACCGTACCTGCAAGGCAGCGTCGTTCTTCTGTTGTTGTTTCTTTTGCTGCATCTGTAGCGCAGCTACAGGATGTAACGTTGTCAATGTCTGATTCATATTGTTTTGTCGTTGGATTTGTTGAGCCATCGGACTGAGTGGAGAGGTTGAGTACAACAACGTATTCAAGGGGTTGCTCTGCGTGGTTGGAGTTTGCTGAATCCGCGACGTTGAGGGGCCGGAATCTATGTCATGATGATTGCGAATCCAGTCGTCTAACGTGCATTGGTCATCTGAAAGTGATAAGGATAATAATGTCATCTTTAAGAAGACTGAAGTTGTATAGTAACGTTACTAAATTGTTACTACAATATGATAATTATAAATTATATAGCAGTACAAGTAATATTCACAAAAACAGTTTTGAGTATTCTGTGTTTTCTGACAAACTTTACAAATAATGGAAAGAAATGTAATCAAATATTAATTAGCAACACCCAGGTGTTTTCTAAAATAACACAAAGTAATATGAAAGGCAAATTTACCTTTAATCAACTTCCTGAACTCCGAAAACAATAAGGAACCGTAGTTGTTGTCTCGTTCACAAAACTGTTGTTCGTTCATCTGCAGAAGCTGAGCTCCAGTGCACCGTGCAAACTGAGTACTCAAGTCTTCGGCCGGTATGTTGTTCCTCTTGGCAACATCCAACAACCAAGCAATCACATCATCCATCGTCCATTCTGAAGGCTCTTTCAACTTGAACTTGGCCAAATCGACTTGTTCAAAGTTGGGGATTGGCTTCTGGATCTGAGGAATGTTTGACTTCAGAATTTCCGGTCCTAGACGGTCTAACAGGACGGCTGCGGCCGTGGTAGGCCAGCTATTCAAAGACTGGATCAGCTGAGGATACAAAGCAGCAACTCCGTTGTTGTTGTTACCCATCAAGCTCTGACTGTTTTGTTGGTGATTCTCGTTAGCTGGACTAAACGGTTGTGGTAAGGCCAACGGTGAGTTCTGTACCATTTGTTGAAGGTTGTTGGCCTGGGTGAGGTTGGCTGCTGCGGCAGCAACAATCGCGTTGTTAATGTCGCTTTGGTTGCTGATAGAAGAGCTACTGGCTTGCTGGCTACACTCGTTTCGTTGCTGTAGCTGCACCGCGGTGTTGGCGACGGCATAAATGTCGGCAACTGACGGGCGTTGCGTTGGTTGATTAGCAATTGCCGCAGCCACAATTGACAGATTATCAGTAGTCGTGGGGAAGGCTAGGTTAGTGCCGTTTGAATTCAAAGTAAAGTTGCCAGAGGGATTCAAAGCTATCCTTTGATTTGTACCGCCGAACCCGGACTGAAAATTTGACAGTCCGGAGGTGGAGGCTTGTTGTTGGTGGTATTGGAGAACGTCCAGCGCACTCAGCCGACGCTGTGAAAGTTGGGGGCTGTGAGGTCGTGGGGCTGAAGGGTGACTGTCCAAAGTGGAGTGGCTTGTTTCGCCCATGAAGCCAGCGAGCTGTTGCGACGACGCGGTCGAATTGTTTGCACTCAGTTTGTTTGTCGAGCAGGCGGTCAAGATTTGCGCACCGGTCATCTGGCCTGAGGGCGATTCGTTGGTTTTCGCTTGATTCAGCGCTGCGGCCACTATAGCCGCGCTAAGTTGGCTGTTCGACACGTTGCTGGGGTCGATCTGAGCGGTGGTGGTCGCCTGCTGGACTGGTTGGGTGTTCAGAGCCGCGGCTAGCAAGTAATTCGTGGCCGTGGTCTGTGTGGGCTGGAGCTGGGTTTGGGCAGCGGCTAGCAAAGCTGCGGCCATGTTACTGGTTTGAACTGGAGAAGCCGGGATTGACGGCTGAGATGGGTTCTGTTGGACGGACTGGAAGAAGTTGGCCAGTTTGAGCTTGTAGGCGGCATTATCGCCCAGGCCCAGGTCGGCGACATTGTTAGTGGACGGGGTTTCGGGCGCGGATGCCTCCGCGGCCGCTGTAGCCGACTGCGACTCCAGCGCTGCGACTGCCGACGATTCGGGCGGGAAGTTGGCCGTGTTGTTGGCACGCAACGCCAAGAAGTCGAACGCGACAACGGGCGGTGGGCTGGATGCAATAGCTGGGTCCGGTCTGTTCCACGCCAGGTATTTTTTCATTGTTCGGTGCGCTTAGCGCCCCGACTTATTTTACATAAATACCCTGGGGCAGAAGGGGACTGTCAAAGGGTTGTGGTATCGTCGGTAGGTTTGAGGGGCGTCTTAAGAGGTCACCGGGCTGATTTTACGTCCTGCAAAGGTGATTGATTACAACATACAAATATACAAGTAAATCGCCAATGACAAGTGGTTAAAATACATATGGATCACGCGAAAATGCAAATTAAAATTTGAAATTCGAAAACACGAGCACCTCGATAACATGATTAAAACCATTAAAACCCGCATCCGAAGCCAAACGATGGAAAAGCAACGGCATCGCGTTGACAGAGTATAAACAAAGTTCATTTCAATGAAAAAATGCAGACTTTTTCGGGCATTTTACTTATCAAAAAAGAGTTTTACAATCAGAAAAGGTTCCAAAAAAATTTGGAGAGGAAACGGAAAGAAGATTATCAAAAAAGTTATTATACACACCACAATTACAGCTAAAACAATGAGCTGAACATACTACAACTAGACCGTACATTAATTACTGTAAGAATGAACCCAAGTAGCCCAGACAAAGTTATGTATGACAGTAAACAATCGCTTCCAAAACACGGAATTCCACGTAAAAGTTTGTAAAGTGGAATCATTTCCTTATTACTAGTTAACAGCCTGATTCTTATCGGTAGCGCGAGACCGAATCAAGGCGAGATTCAAAACAAATCTTTCCGGAAAAATACGAACTTGGTAATGATGATAGACTGCGATATACGTCAGCTACAGTGAAATTTATAAAAGTCAAACATAAATGTACAATAACAGAAAAGCTATACTTAGGGGAGTTGTACGACATACTAATATAAGGTTTAAAACGTTTAATCAAAGTTTTACGAGTTTAAAGAAGTGAAACCGTCTATAATTTTATACAAATTTCTTGATGATAAAACATTTGGTACAATAGTCTGTCAATGCCAGACGAACCATTGCTACCAGACCACCCACAATAAAATACGCATTAAATAAACAATCAAACGTCCCCAATATAACTGTAAAACGATAAAACGCAAGATAAAATGAGAGAAAGTTGGGGGCGATTATGACAAAATTAAGCCGACTGACACTACAAACTACTTCCCCTTAGGGTCTTTATCAGAAATAAACGGGAAAAGTCTTTTTTACCTAAAGTAAAGTCCACATATTAACTTTGAAAAGATGTATACGAGAGAAGAAGGTAAAGGTAGAGGTGTCACAAAACATATTTTGACATAATTTACCTTGTTGATAACATGTAATCTTTCTGAATTCTATTTCCTCGTCTTTGTTTTGTTATCAATTATCCAAAAACTTGTGAAAGATTGTCAAGTTCATCAAGATCAAATGATAATCTACAGTAACAGTAAGAGCAAAAAGAATGTCGTACAGTATAAACAATGTTTTCAACAATGTTAAAGCAAAAGCATAATCAATTGTTACAATAAATGTTGCTTAAAAGTGTCGCAAACAATTTACAACAAAGGCTTGTTACAAAAATGGCGCCAACAGTTGTTTTAGAAAAGAGAATGCATCTAAAGTAATATGAGCAGTGAAGTCACGAGTTGAAAGTTGACAATCCGCTTAATTCAAAGTGCTTGAAAGGCTGTAAAAGCAACGTCACACTTTTACAATTCCAAGAAGCCATACTTTTAACAGAGGTGTGACTATCTCGACTTGGAATTGGCAAAAGACAAAGTATAAGAATAGTTTGGTCTAACAGAAGATAAAGATATCAACTTAAATATGAACTTAAAAGTTAAAAGAGTACTATTTCAATGATAACAAAACAACGAATATTTAAATAACTTCGTTTTCCGACAGCATATACGTTCCCTAAAGTTACAGACAATGTTTTTATGGTAAACCGTTAAACTCGAGCCGGAACTAAAGTGATATAAACAAGGCTGCAGAAGTTATTTTACACAACAGAGCTTGATGTTTGATATACGGCCCTTCCCAATTCGAAACTACACTTTCGAGTTTGTTTTCGGTCCATCTGATAAGCGTGTAACATTTCATATCACTTTTGGTCCACTTACAACTCAAGTACACCTTAATACTATGAGACAATGATACACACCTCTACCAAAACTGACTTTTAAGTCAAAATAAGACTTGAACACATTTGTTACTACTACATTGGTAATTAATACATTCATTACTATAACTACGTGCCATTAACTAACTTAAAATGCCCCCCCCCCTTTTATAAAGAAGCAAAAAGTTAAAAAGTGGCAAATAAAGTGAATAAGTTCAAAGAAACAAAAATAACCAAGAGTATGATAACAATGAAGCATTGTATAGTCCCGCTTCAGAAGGCTATTATGCAAAACTTTTATAGCCGCTTCAGCATTTATGCTAATTTCCGGACAGACATAGAGTAAACAAGCAGTAAGTGATGAAAGATCAAGCCACAGTTTCAAAGTCAAACTGAGATTTACATGTAGGATACACGGTAAGAAACAGATCTACTGTGAAGTGAAATATCATTAGTAAAGAACATTAAAAACTTTGCTAGTTCTAGGTCTAAAACTGTCATTTTTAAACAAAAAAATAAAAAAATGAACATGGTTGTATCTCGATATTCATAAAAACCACGTCAACCCGTTTTTACAAATACCAACACGACAAGTGTTCCAAATTAGCTCAACCTCTACTGCCAACCACTGAAACGTGCCATAATTTATAAAACGTGGGTTAATTTGATCTATTCTTATATATACTCCAACCCGGGGTTACTATTAAAAGTTATTATTAGTCCTTTACAATTCTCCTGCTTATACACCTACCCAAAGATGGGTAGTACATAGATCTTGCAATGATGAAAAAGTCAGATTCAGATGGTATTCATGTGATAAACATGAGCAGGCTATGGCAACAGGAAACTGATCAATGTTCAGAAGGGGGGATTAAGAGGTAGCAGTCGCTTGAATTGTACAAATTTGAATTTTGACTATCAAACAACTATTAAACACTAGTTTGTACTTTTAAAAAACCAAGAATTTGGAAAAATTATCAACAAAATTTTAAAATTAAGTTTTGCATTAAAGGTTCGTAAAAATAAGAAAAAAGTTGAATATCCCTAATAATATGACAAAAAGTTGAGAAAACACTGTCATCAAAAAATAACCGTAAATTATGCGGATTCGCTCACGTTTATAACGCCATATCGATTAAATAACCATAAAGACAAGGTGCATAATATTGTTTATGAATACGTTCGAACACCTTCCGTAACGTTTACAGATCTATGGCTTTGTAATAGCAGTTTCAAACACTTACAAGGTTGTTTATGGCAAGACAAGTAGCTACAACACTTATTTTCAGTAAACTAAAGCTTCAATACAGTACAGTTATCAAGCATTAGGTTGTTCACACAATTCTGTGCTCTCCCTAAAAACAAATTTACGTGATTAGGAACACAAAATTAATTGAACCACTTAATATATTACCTACAACAATATCGAATAGCTAATAAAATTTTGCAAATTTGAAGCCACAAGACACAAAACCAGCCAAGAAGGTAGCTTTTGAATAAGAATAACTATACCTAACATTTGGAAATGAACCCAGGAAGTGAATAAACTTTGTTTACAATCAAATACCTTATTCAAGAGTAATATACGTCTATCATTACAGGGTATAGAACATGTCTATTCGACGAGTACGTAATGACCTCACTTTTACATTACCGAGTTAGCAAGACACTTAGCATGGGTAGTATGCAGGTATGTACATGAGGACAAAAACATATAAAAAATATAATTAAGAGGTGAAGTAAGTCAAGAAGAAACTCGAGATCTTATTTTAGATATAAAATATAAAACTCAAATGTTAAGTTCTTACAAAAATAAATACAGTATGCCTTTTAAAAGTTTGCTTCTTACAAACTTTTACTATAAATATCCTATGGTAAAGTCTGTCTACCCCCACTCTCTATCCACATCATACCTAAATTAATTTTCATTTTTAGTTCGAGAAAGTGTTCGATTCATAATTCCCATAGTAATAATATATAGTTGTTTCTGAAGTAAACAGGTGCAAATGTAGGGAAATCACATTTAAAAACATTCGAAACCTGACAAAATAATTCAAACCCACATCGAAATACCATGGTAAACAGTAAATAACACGCTTTTTTTTTGAGGGTTTTACACGAAATAATTTGAAAAAATATATTATAAGTAAGCGTATCCATATATATAACATAAAAGGCAAAAAATAATAAGTGCCAATATGTATAGCTGTCGTATATTAAGAAGTAATGACAAAAACATATACATATATCACCGAAATGAACATAAAAGTTTGCGTGAACTTTTTTGTATATCTTCATTTTTGGTTTTTATACACGTGTACACTATTTGCAAACACAACATTGCCCTTGTATTTTTTTTTGCTGACATCTGCTTAAACAACCTCCTACAATTTGAACTTAATTTAACTTTGGAAGTAAAAAACAATTAAAAAAAGGTATAAGCAACTACACGGATTTAAAAGTTGCCATTAAATCCTAAAAATAACCCTAAACTTGCTTTCTCATACCGTTCTGTTCTTTTTACCCCCCTCCCCCCCCTATCTCCCCGCCACTCACGTTGCTCTTCCTTTATCCCGAACCTCACCCCCCCCGCCCCCCTTCCTTCAAAATATAAAAAACCCGCCTTTTACCACAAATAACTTTTAAAATACTTTAATTACAGTTTATGTGCATGTCACGTTAACTTCTCCACTTTTTGCAACAATAGCATGTTTAAACAGCCTCCGGCGTTTTTCTCGTTAACTCAAAAAAAAATAGTTTACCTCGTCGACTTTTTTTAGGATAATTAACTTCCTGACCTGCGGCAATTAATGCCGTCAGACAAACACGGATTACAACGAAATGAACTTTAAAGTAATGTAAAAGTAATAAGATGGACGATCTGCGCAGAGTGCAAAGAATCAAAAAGTATAGCTTTGGAAGGTGCTTCATTGTTATCTTG